AAAAGTCCATATTGCTGATTTTCCTGGAGGGCAAAGTGCGTATGAAAATTGCTGTTTTTGATAAATACCTAGTACAGATAAGTTAATGAAATTATAAAATAAAGTTAGGTTTCATTTGGTTTCTTTTTTTTTTCTTTCTTGTTTTAGCTCCTTGCAGATTAGTTGTTGCACTTGGTTTATGTTTTCATGGCAAGTTAGGGGGAAGAAAATACTTTCCTGCATTACTGGTGGAGCCCCATTATGATTTTACTTTGTACACAGTAGTATTACTGTGAAGTGGTATGATTGTAAGGGCAATTTCTTATCTTCCTTAATAAAGAAGTCCTTCTGGAGTGCTGTGTCCAGTTTTCAGTTCCCAAAAATGTAGGTGCAATGGGTGTGTCCAGTGAAGGTGAAGTGTGTCAGTATGTGATGATGAGTGAGGAGGAACTGAGAGGAGGGAACTTGATGCTGTCTTCTGGCATGGGTGAGGACTCAGGCCAGGTGCATGGTGTGAAAGGTAAGAGGCAGTTCTTGGAGGATGCATGGTGTTAGGACAAGAGGCAATGAGACAAAGTTTCAACAATATACATAATGCTTAGATACTGGGAAAATAGAACAAACTGACAGCATTAGATTGTAGCTGGAGGTATTTTTGGGCAATGTGGTAAGCAGTTGTCTTTAAGATGATGCTGAGCTGTCAATTGGACTAGGTATCTCAGCAGGTTCCTTTGAATCTGTATTATTTTGTGATTTTTATTCAGCTAAGCCTGTCCCGGGTGGACTACACTGGTGCAGCTTCAGTATAGACAGGTCCTGATGTGAGTGACTTCTGTTTGTTTGGACAGTACATGTAAAGAATATTTAATGTGCCACCTGGTAAAGACCAAACAAGTGTGGCAACATGTCTAGTGAAATTTCCTCTGGTTTAACCGCATGCAAGTTAAACTTTTAAACTTACTTATGAAGGATGCCCTTTTGTAAGGCATCATGTAGAGTAAGACAGCTTTTATAATGTTGGCCTGTGGCAACTCTGTGCATCTAACTTCTGTACATCTGGTGTAGATGATATATTAACTTAAAATTTCCATTGGTTAAAAAGCAAATATTTGGTTATTCATTCTGGGCTTCTCATTATACTTTTAGATTTTGAAGAATTTTACATCTGTTCATCTCTCCTATGTGGAATTGAAGCAAATGGGCCAGCAGCAGATTGGAAGCTACCCTGTTCACTTTCACCTTTGTGGGGATGTGGATGAAAAAGGGGGTTATAGTTATAAAACTTACCTGGAAGGTCTTTCCATTCATCACTGTTTTTCCAGATGTGTGACTGTTCATGCAACTAATGGTTTGCTGGTAGGTGCAAGGAAAGTAAAACATACTGTGTTGGAATACATGTTACAAAGAGCATTTAGACCCCCAAATTGTGCAAGTTTAACATTCAGCAATGTTTTTCATATTTCAGCACATAAATTAACAACTAACTGCAAACAGTAATTTATTTTTAACAGCTCTCACCATTCTGGTTTTTTCAGATTCTTGTAGGCAGCTAAGCTCTCCAGGCATAGTAGTCTGTTTCTGAGGGATAAATTAAACTGTGTGCTTGAACCATACGAAGTGCTGATACTGAAGCTACACTCTGCAGCTGTGCCAAGATATTAAACTAGATGGTACTTGTCAAATAAATCTCTGTAAATGCTATTACTGCTGACACAATGGTCTTGTATTTCTGCAGATAAAGGACACTATTGGCTACGACACACTAGGTCACTGTTTCTTCATAGAAGATGGCATTGAGCAGAGGAATACATTGTTCCACAACCTTGGGCTAGTCACTAAACCAGGCACTCTTCTACCTACAGACAGAAACAGCAGCATGTGTATTGGTATTAGGGATAAAGTGTATGGAAGTTATGTGCCAGTGCCAACTACAGACTGCATGTAAGTATGTCATGGTGAAAAAGTAAAACCAAACCAGCTGCAGCAGTTAAGCTGCTGCTGCTGATGCCTTGACAATATACAGATGGGAACATTTTTATTTATAATTAATGAATGCAGACACCTTAAATGTAGTTCACATAATACTGGTATTTTAAATAAAAAAACCAGCATTTAGCCTTTTATTTATTATAGTCTTTTATTAAAGGAAAAAAGTCATTTTATAGGAAAATTGTTGTTTCTTGTGATACTTGTGGACTGAAAAGTCTAATGAACATCTTTGCTTCTGTGTAAATCTATGCATATTCTCAAGTTGTCACCACTAGTTTTTCTGCATAGTACTAAATTCTTGTGAAAGCTGCTTGAAATAGTTTATCACTGCACAGGGTATCTGCAATGTTGTGCATTGAACTTAAAAAGAGACATTTTTGACTTACAAATGTGCGAGGTTTTGTGTTTTTTTTTTTTCCTTATGCGAAATAGTGACTTCAGCAATCAGTTTCTGATGTGCTTGTTACAAAGGGGAGCTATTTGTACTGGAGCTAGAGCTTTACTTTAATAACTTACTTCTGAATAATATTTCAGGGCAGTTTCTACATTCTGGATTTCTCATCCCAACAATCATCTTATAAATAATGCAGCAGCAGGCTCACAGGTGAGGCATGTGGATGTAACTCATTGTGAACTACTTATGCAACTGGCATTTGTAAAATCTGTAACATTTACAGTGCCAGAAATGCATTCGTTTTTGGATTTTATATATGAATGTTTTTTCTATGATTGGCAGCACATTGGCATTGAAAGTGCAGGATGTGTCTAGGCATGCATTTTGGAGATGCCAAAAATCTTTGTTCTGTCTGGAACAGAGGAGATCTCTTCCTCTTTGTAGTTAATAGACCTGACAACAGTGTCATTGTGTGTATGTAGAAATCTTTTTATATCCACAGAACTAGTGCATTTCATATTAAGGCTTCTGTATTTTCTGTAGGTTGTCATGAGTTTAGTGACAGCTTTGCAAGATCTGTATTCATAGATGTAGTCATTGGAGTGAAAAATTACTACAACAAGGTGTTCATTGTGTAAGAAAGAGCTAAACCACCTTTTTTCTTCTGTTAGCGATTAGTCACTTACTTCCAGTCAGTGACTGCTGATAAGGTTTTGCTTGTTGTGAACCTTATATTAATGCAGGTATCTTGTCACAGCTGCTTGCAAAGAAAAGCTGAACTACTCAGTACATGTGGAGGAAGGGGCTGGAGTCTGTTTCATTTCTACAGTGGATTAGAGGCATACATATGTATGGTTTTGGGTGGATTTTTCTGACTAGGTCAGAGGGAATGGAAAACCAGAAAAGCTGGTGGTGGTGGTTGCAAGGGTTTCCAATGCTGGAAGAATATGAGTCGGTCAGTGTATTCTTAGGCATAGATGACATAATAAACTGTTAGTAAGAAATAGAACAGGATTCAAAATATTTAACTGAGTTGAAATATCTCAAGTATAAAAGAATCAGAAAACTGGATTTTTGTATGGTCTGATTTTTGTTTTTTCTGTTGTGGGTTTGTTTGGGTTTGTTGACAATCTCTTCTATTTGACTGTCTACCATTAGGAAGGATCTGGACACACCTACTGAATTAAACCATTTCTTCTCTTCCCAATGTAACACTTTCCGTTTTGCCTGCTTTATGTAATATACTTAGTTTTAGTATTGCTGGCTAACTTAAAGGAAACAAATTCCTTGATCCGGTGCTTGAGTCCTGCAAGTTCTTTTTCTGCCTCTGTAGCGCATCCCAGTAGAAGTCGCTTATTTTTGTTACCAGAATGTGCCTGATCATAGCATACACAAATACTTGCTCTGAAATTTTGCTGCTCTCGATATACCTCCCTTGCATGGATATAAACACATTAGTATAAAGCAACTACAGCTTATTAAGTTTCAGAAACAGAATGCTTCAACTGTGTTCATACAAACTCTGCACTGTAGAGCTTTTAGTAGTATAAACTATAGCAATTCACAGGGAAATAAAATAATTCCACTGCTCCCCTAGTTTCTTCATTACACAATGAAGCCTATTGTAAGGGTGTATTCGCAAGAGATGTTTTATTTTGTTTTGGCTGTTTAGGAGAGAGAGAAAAAACTTACTCTTCTGAATGCTTGCAAGTGCTTAAGGAGCTTTTAAGTGTATGAAACTAGTTTTCAAGCATCAGGATGTGTTTTGGATAAAATTTACTTGAGTCTACCAAGCACAGATCTTTATTTATTTATACGTGAAGTAAGATTTTGATATTATTATAAATGGAATATCCACACTTGTTTTGTAATGGTTAATGGTTGATTACCATAAATGTCAAAGTGTGTCATCATTACAGATGGAAATGTTACTGCAATGCAGAATTTCTGGGACTGTTTGGAAAATGAGCATATTGTCAGAGTGAAATGAATGAAATCTTTTAGGGCAGGGTAAATTGGCTTTATCTATCCTTCCTTGAAAGGATGATGACTTACTTTTCATGAGGTAGAGCACTCAGTACACAGAGTTCCTTTAGCTACTGTTTAAACCTCTAATGTGTCTTATGTGATGATTTTTTTATTTTGTAAAGGTATTGAGCATATGGTCAGGCAAAATTTTTCATGTTTTTAAGTATCTGCTATGCTGTCATGATGGCATCTATTGTGAATGCAGGTGTGGTTGACATGGGAAATTTTATGAATCTCATTTAGCAGAGAAATCTAACTGCTTTAGGAGCAGAGATGTTGAAGTAGAAAAAAATTAACAGATACTGAAATTATTGCATGTTATTGGCACAGTGCTTTGAACTAGCCAGACTTCTTGATGTACTTTTGTCGAACTGTAACAGTAAGGAAAGGAGGAATGATTTTGAGTATTTTATTGTGAATAGTATGTTTTACTAGTAAATAAAGGAATATCAAGTGTGTGGGATGAAATATAATTGAAATGCAAAATTTGCGTGGACAATTCTCTGCTTTGAATATTATAGGACCTTAAATGTGTGGTGTTATATGGCTTCACTGAGAAGCAAAACACAATTTAGTGTGTATTGTTCACTAGAATATAGCTTTATTTGCAAAACCCTACTTTCTTACTGGGTAGTTGCTTGGGGACTTAATTTTTTAAAATATATTCTATTGGGCGCAGTTGGTTTGGGCTGTGTTCTTACTTGCTTTCTTAGTTAAAATGTTTAAGTTCAACTTAGCATACACTTATTTTGTGAATGGATGCATTAACACTGATAGTAGTATCAGAATCATTTATAAGTAATGTTATTATCTCCTTACTTGCAGGATGCTGGAATATGGTATTTGTTCCACAGGGTTGCTACAGGAGATTCCCACAGTTCAGCCATTGAAACCAAATCAGAGCTTACACCTCTAGGAGTCTTCTATAACAACAGGGTCCATTCTAATTTTAAGGTAATACATTATCTCATTCAAAAAAAGTGAAGTTCTTTATTTGTAAATATTCTATATTAGGACTTTTCTGTTTACATTTTAAGCTGGCTAGGTGATAGATTCATGCTGTGTTTGAACTGTATTGTAGAACGATGTATAATCAGCATGGGTATATTGTCTTGCCACATTTCAAGGATTCACTCTATTTCAAATCCTTGTAAGATACAACTAAAATCAATTAATTCTTCTCATAAAGTAAGTTTTCTCAGAAGTGGTATTTCAGGTGGTATTATTTGTGTCTTTGTTTTGTACTCTGAAGAAAGCTGACATTTGAAGAATCAAAGTTTATTATAGTTGTGATTCAACTTATAGCTTCCTGGAGTCGCTGTGAATTGTTTTCCTGAGTCTCTAGTGTACAGTAACTCAGGTGTTTGCACATGGTGATACAGTCTCTGGCTAGAGGCTTCAATATTGGCTTCAGAAGCTCGTCTGTGGCAACCATTTTTGTTATAGGGTTCTCAGCCTAGATACAGGAATTGAAAATTGTTTTATTAGTAAGACTTTCATAACTTTTCCACCTTTCAGGTAAGTGAAGTCAAAGTCTTTAAAGTATTTCATTTGGAATCTAGCTGCTCGTAGTGTGTGTATAAATATAATGACATTTACAAATCCACCTAACTCTAAGTACTTATTTGTATTTGAAGTTTGCCTAATAAAGTTCATGGAGTCATTATTGGATTTTTTTTACCAAGTGAAACTGATTTTGCTTGACTAGTTTTCTGGGATACCAAGACATGATGCAATGTTTTATGGAAATTGCATTAACGGTATTATTTGGGACTGTAAGGGATTTTATTCAGATTGGAATTAAAATATACTGAATATAAAAGTGAAAAAAAATAATTCAGCTATATATTATTATTCAGCTAGCATTATCTTTAAACAAGGGTAGCAGTTTGCTTGCTAAAATTCCATGTTCAGAGAGAAAACTCCACTAGCAGGTCGGAGCATCTGTTCATGTATGAGTCTCAATTATAGTCATAATTTGGATCAGAGGTGAAAGCAGTTACAGATATTTGTGTATATAAATGAGGTTAAAGAACACAAATGCTTCCTCCTGCTTCTATATTCCTTAAGTAAATTATTTCATACTGAATTATGCAGTTTCAAGCTGATGTTTGCTTGGACAAAAATAATCTTTAGTGGAGAAGGTAGTTTAGTTTTAAAGTGAAATACAAAAGATTTTTCAGTGGTTTTGTGTTTTATTTTTTTCTTTTCCATTTATGAGAATAATTTTAATTCACCACAGATTTTTCTAGAACAGCATCTGGAAATAACTGTCAAACCTCAAGTAGACGTTGTGAAAGAAATGTGAAATTATCTTCCGTTTTCTATTACTTTTTTTTAACCCCACGTAATTCTTTTTCTTTGCCCAAACTAGCACAGACATTTATTATATTAATTAGCTAGTTAGACAATATGCTGATCAAAGAACTTATAATGCATGTCTGGAATGCAGTGCTTAAATTTTAGAACACAATGTTGACTCTATCTTTCATTTAAATTTTTTTCCTTGCTTGTTTCAGGCGGGTTTATTCATTGATAAGGGTGTTAAAACAACAAATGCTAGTGCTGATGATCCCAGAGAATATCTTTGCTTGGACAACAACGCAAGGTAAAGGATATTTTCTTTCAAGTCAGTGAAAAATGGCAAAGTTTTAAGATTTCTCTTACATGAGGAGAAACACTTTTAAAACAATAATTTATAATTTAAAACCAAACAGTACATTCATATATGTTGTTTTCCCTCATTTGTTCATCTGTTTTGGGAACAACAGGGCACAATCTGCCTGAAAGGATTTGGCTGTTTTTTTGAGTCCTTGCTCAAGGTAGTTTTCAGCCTCTTAGAAGACACTGTTTTAAACATGCTCTACTGTCATGGTTAAAGTGTTTTCTGGAATTGCTGCTAAAATAAAAGTTTCCTTTAAAATATGCTCTTCTGATCTATGATGTAGTTTTAACTAGTTGTTAGAAAAAGGCTTCAGTAATACATCCACTTGCCTTTCTTACTGCTGAATGCTTCCTGCTATACCTTCAAGACTTGGAGGTCATAGCTCAGCAGTAGAGTTTCATCAGTTTACAAAGTGAGAAAGGGTAATGGAGAGTCTAGGAAAGTTCCAGGTTATATTGTGCCTGGTTAGTCTTGTCCTGAGCCTCAAGTAAAGTAGCCTGGGGTAGTAGTTAAATGACAGTATTGGATAACTGTCAACATTTTATTGTGACAACTAAGCAGTAACACTGAAAATAAGGTTCATATGCTTTTTTTTTTCATTAACCTGTGTTTAGGATGAGAACAGTTAAGTGACAGCTGCAGATACTCAGTATTTCATGATTTGGAAGTGAACTCACTAGTTCAATATTTTGACAGAAAAAACGTATAATCCTTGTAGTCTACCTCGGTCATAACAGGTAGCCAAGAGGAACATGAGGGGCAAAATGCCCTGTGGGAACCTGCAGTGTGTTGAGCAAGAAACTCAGTGCATAGGATGGGGGTCATGTTTCACAGCAGACAAAGAAGTAATGAGGCACTGTGTAATTACGCTAATCACTGTACATGGAACCAAACTGGAGGGGTTTGATGTTGACCGAGGAGCTTGAAACTCTAAAACCCAAACATTTACCTGTTCTTCCCTTTCTCACCTGGGTGGGGAGGGCACAGATCCAAATCTGAAGAAAAGCAATCAAGGTGATTGTGATAAAGGAGATATATAGATTTACTCACTCAAAATGCATATTTGTAATTTTTTTAGTGTATTTTTTTTTTCTCTGGGATGTAAGGGATAATCAAGTAAAACCTTCACCACTTTATAATCAGGCCATTTCTTCTTATTTTAAAATAGATTCCAGCCATAATTTAGTGTTTGAGACCATTTTGGTAGCAATGCAGAATGTCTGGGTTGGAACAGAATAATATCTTAGGTGTACTTAAAGAAGGAGCACTCCTCTGTGTCAGAGGAGTTTGAAAGATTTGAAGGACCAATTAGATAAATGTTCAGTCTGGTTTTGTGTAGTCAGTGTCAGCCCTGTGTGTCCTTCCAAGGAGCTTTAATTCCCTTCATCAGACTTTCATATGAATGCTGCAGTACAAGTTGGGAGGGCTAAAAGGAAAAGGGGGTAAAGGAGGTGAATTGCAGCTGAAGAAACTAAGGGAGACTGATCAAAAGCCTGTGAGAGTTACTGGAAAAGAGAAATTTTATGTTCCTGCTTCATGATACCCTAAAAACACTTACCTAGTAAGAGAGATGAACCTGGTTTTGGCTTCTGTCATTCCAAACATGAGGTAGAGTGGAATTTATCCATTAGGTGAGTGTTTATCTTTCAGGCTTACTCAGCCCAGCATATATGACACATATAAAACAAACAGTTTTCTTGTACTGAATATTTGGATTTTTCTCTTTCAGGTTTCGACCTCATCAAGATGCAGACCCTGAAAAGCCCCGAGTTGCTGCACTGATCGACAGATTAATCTCTTTCAAAAACAATGATCATGGGGCCTGGGTAAGAGGAGGGGATATCCTCATTCAAAACTCTGGGTAAGTATCCAGAAGCAAGCGGCTGCATGCTGTTAAGAAGCTTTTCCTGAAGCTTTGTTTATGAAAATACATTACAACAGGCTTATAAGAGAGGACTTCTTGATATCGTGACCAGCTTTCACACCATCTACTGCTTTAAATTCAACAAGTTCATTTGTGATTACATTATAACCTGTCTTAAACAGCAAAACAAAAGGAAACTATGTAATAAAAAGAAGTCTAAAAGTTGGTAGAGACAGTAAATTTAGACTGAGGTAACTATGATTTCCCTGAAGGTCTCATGTCCTGCTTAAAATGTGTAGAAAACTTTGATTATTTTTTTAGAACAGCATTTTTAGAAGACCTAAGTGTGTAGTAGTTCTAAGTTCCATTAACAGAAAAACTTAGACATTTTTCAGTGCTTAGCAGGATGTGCTCTTATAGTAGTATGTTGTAGTATAATCCAGAAAAAATTATTTACGCTTTGATCTTTCATTTAGGTTTGCAGACAATGGAATAGGTTTAACATTTGCTAGGTAAGTACTTCGTTAATTATTTCTGTGGTTTGTTTGTCTAGAAGCTTAGAAAAATCTATCTGCATCTATTAAAATTAATAGGTATACTTCCATAAGGCTGCAGTTCCTGGTTTTGGGCCCAGTTCTATTTCCGGTGGCACATGATACTGCAGAGGCTGTAAACTGACACAGCTGTCAAACCTTGCACTTTAATTCAACCTGTGCTTGGTTTACATCACAGTTTGCTGCCTCTTCACCAAAAGGCCTACATTTATACAAGTATTTTTGGTTTTGTATGATTCCTTTGGCAGTTTTTTATTTTCTTCCAGAAGGGTTGCAAACAAGTAATGGAAAAGAAAGGGGATAAGCATTTAGAGGGGTTAGAGTCTCTTTGCAATGAAAAAGAAATAAAATAAGTTAGGCAGTAAGTAAGTCAAAATTACTGCCATTTAGGTTATGACAAACTGGTTCTAGGATTGCTAAAGTTGGCTGTGAAAGTGTGCTGCACTAGGGAGTTAGAAATTTTAATGTTCAATATCTCAAACAGTTACCCTGTATTACTGTTATTGATTAAATCTCTTGTTCTGTATATTGTAAATGAGGTCTAGACTGCTCTGCTTAAGAAGGACTGTTACAGAACTAAAAGCAGAACTGTGTACCGTAGTGTATTCGTCTGCTGGAGAGTTTTAGCTAAACAATTCTGTCTGATGTTACTTTGATAGTGATGGGAGCTTCCCAAATGATGAAGGTGCCAGCCAGGAGGTATCAGAGTCACTGTTCATAGGTGAGAGCAAGAATTACGGATTTCCAGGTGGACAAAATAAATATGCGGGAACTGGAGGAATAGACAACAAGGCCCGCACTCTGCCTAGAAATCGGTAAGTATCTCATGAGTGAAGGAAGTAGAAATACAAGAAACATTCTCTGGATCAGACGTAAACAGCTTGAGCTGTGAGAGCTTAAGACTCCATTGAAGGCGATGCTCTTTCTTTTTAATGTTTTGTGTGCAACTGTATTGCTCTCATCTTTTTACTGAGGCAGTTTGATCTAATGCAAACAGAGGTCACTTTGCTGTAGCAATCTGTTATCTTACTTAAATGAAACCTTAGTCTTAAAAAACATTTAGGTCTGGAAGACAGAAGGAAAAAACTTTCAGGTAAAACAATTTCAAAGGTCAGTTTGGGACTAAAGACTGCAATCTGTCTATGATAAATCACAATCTGTGACTATGATTCTTTTATTTTCTCTTTGGTTTGCTCTGATGCTTGTTTAACTTAGCTCCAAGTCCTACCCTTGCCAGACAATAGGATAAAAGGGTGAGGGAGGTCTAGGCCACCTCATTTTTTTGCTGCTTAGCCATTTAAAGGGAAGAAGTTTATGTGGTGGTGATATATGAGGCATTCAGTCTAGTTGAGCGAAATCACAGAACAATTGAAGTTGGAAGGGCCCTCTGGAGGCCCAACTCTTCTGCTCAAGTAGTGTCACCTAGAACTGGTTGTCCAGTCCCACATTCAGGTGGCTTTAGAATGTCTCCAAGGATGGAGAGTCCACAACATCCCTGGACAACCTGTGTTGCCAGTGCTCAGCCACTTGTACACTGACAATACTTCTTCTGATGTTCAGGAGAACCTTCTGTTTTTCATTTTGCTCCATTTGCCTCTGGTCCTGTCACTGGGATTAGCCTTGCTCCCTCTTCTTTGCACTCTCCCTTTAGATGATACTATATTTGAGATTCCTGCCAGAGCCTTCTCTACTCTGGGCCAAACAGTTTGACATCTCCCACTGTTTCCCCCTGGGAGGATGCTCCAGTAACTTAATCATCTTTGTGGCCCTTTGTTGGTCTCTCCAGTATCTCTAGATCTGTCTTGTATTGGGGACAGACAGTCTAGGTGTTGCGTCAGCAGTGCTGAATAGATGGAAGGATCACCTCCTTCAGTCTGTCGATGACACTTCTCCTACCTAGTGCAGCCCTGAATACCTTTTGCCCCTTTGTGGCAAAGGCACTTTGTTTGGCCTATGGTCAATTTGGTTTCCACTAGGACCTATAGGTCCTTTTCACTGGCACAAAGCATTGTTGCTCCCAAGGTGCGGAGCTTTGCACTTCATGTTGAATTTGATGAGGCTTCCATCTGCCCATTTCTCCAGCCTGTCAGGGTCCGTCTGGATGGCAGCACAACCCTCTGGTGTATCAGGTGCTTCACTCAGTTTTGTGCCCTCTGTAAACTTGCTAGGACTCTACTTGGCCTGATTATCCAGGTTACTGATAAAGATGCTGAACAAGATTGGACCCAGTATTGACCCCTAGAGTACACCACGAGTTACTGGCTTCCAGGTAGTCTTTGTGCCATGACCTTGTGGGTCCAACCATTCAACTAGTTTTCAGTCCATCTCACTGTCCTCTCATTCAGCTCGTAATTTGCAAGGATCTTATGGGACACATGGTCAAAAGACTTACTGCAGTTTTTGGTAGACCATGTCCAGTGCTCTCCTTCAGCTACCAGGCCAGTCATTTCATCACATAAATTTATTGAATTGTTCAGTCATGACTTCTCATTGATGAATCCATTCTGATTACTCCTGATGACTTTCTTGTCCTGCATGCACCTGAAGATGGTTTCCAGGATTAGCTGCTTCATCACCTTCCGGGGGATCAAGCTGAGGCTTACCAGCCTGCTGTTTCCTGGGTGTTCCGTCAGGTTAGAAGGGACGTTTGTTTCCCTGCAGTCTATGATCACTTCTCCCAGTTGCCATGATCAGTCAAAGAGCAGATGGTATTACTTTCCTGCTATATTTCTCCTACTAGAAAAGGGACACATTTGCAAATGGGTAGTGCTAGCTCTTCTAACAGTAAAATTTAGGAGCAGGGGATTTTTTGACTGGTGAGAGAAGTACAGAAACCATATTTCCTTTACTAAGATCAATCTTGCTAGTGATTCTCTTAATGTTACTTTCTTGATTCCTCTGAAAGAAAATGTATTTCTGACACAAATTCAGGCTTATTACGGGTTTTGTTAAGGATAGTATAAATATTTGTTTGCATTAACAGGACATTTCCAATCAGAGGCTTTCAAATATATGATGGACCTATTCACCTTACCAAGTGCACGTTTAAGAAGTTTATGCCAACTCCAGACAGATTTACCAGTGCAGTTGGATTCTTGATGAAAAATCCATGGCAGATGACGCCAAAAAATAACATTTCCCTTGTGAAGTTTGATCCAAACGTAAGTTTATTGCAAGTTTTCTTTTAGTATTGCAAATGGTTTGGGGTTTTTTTCTTGTTGTATTTAACATAAAACAGATAAGGGCCTTAGGTCATCATTTTCATGCATTCCTATTCCAGAATTTCTCTTTTGGTTGGTGGTCACCCAAGGTATATCCTTTGTCTCCTGAGCCAAAAAAAAGCAAAACCAAGACCAAACAAACAGAGATGTAGGATATGTTGCAACTAATGATTCATGCCTTATGGCAAAACTGAAAGGAGATTTTTGTAAGGTTTGGTAGTATGTTGTCTCGGTTTGAGAGACAGGCGTCTGCCAAAAAGGCA